ACCAAAAAAGAGCCCACATTGCCAAGACAATCCTAAGCCAAAAGAACAAAGCTAGAGGCATCATGCTACCTGACTTCAAACTATACTACAAGGCTACAGTAACCAAAACAGCATGGTACTGGTACCAAAACAGAGATACAGACCAATGGAACAGAACAGAGCCCTCAGAAATAATGCCACACATCTACAACCATCTGATCTTTGACAAACCTGACAAAAACAAGAAATGGGGAAAGGATTCCCTATTTAATAAATGGTACTGGGAAAACTGGCTAGCCATATGTAGAAAGCTGAAACTGGATCCCTTCCTTACACCTTATACAAAAATTAATTCAAGATGGATTAGAGACTTAAATGTTAGACCTAAAACCATAAAATCTCTAGAAGAAAACCTAGGCAATACCATTGAGGACTTAGGCATGGGCAAGGACTTCATGTCTAAAACACCAAAAGCAATGGCAACAAAAGCCAAAATTGACAACTGGAATTTAATTAAACTAAAGAGCTTCTGCACAGCAGAAGAAACTACCACAGAGTGAACAGGCAGCCTACAGAATGGGAGAAAAATTTTGCAATCTACTCATCTGAGAAGGGCCAATATATAGAACCTACAAAGAACTCAAATTTAGAAGAAAAAACAACCCCATCAAAAAGTGGGCAAAGGATATGAACAGACACTTCTCAAAAGACATTTATGCAACCAACACACACATGAAAAAATGCTCATCATCACTGGCCATCAGAGAAATGCAAATCAAAACCATAATGAGATACCATCTCACACCAGTTAGAATGGCGATCATTAAAAAGGCAGGAAACAACAGGTGCTGGAGAAGATGTGGAGAAATAGGAACACTTTTACACTGTTGGTGGGACTATAAACTACTTCAACCATTGTGGAAGACTGTGGCGATTCCTCAAGGATCTAGAACTAGAAATACGATTTGACCCAGCCATCCCATTACTGGGTATATACCCAAAGGATTATAAATCATGCTGCTATAAAGACACATGCACACGTATGTTTACTGCAGCACTATTCACAATAGCAAAGACTTGGAACCAACCCAAATGTTCATCAATGCAGACTGGATTAAGAAAATGTGGCACATATACACCATGGAATACTATGCAGCCATAAAAAAGGATGAGTTCATGTCCTTTGTAGGGACATGGATGCAGCTGGGAACCATCATTCTCAGCCAACTATCGCAAGAACAGAAAACCAAACACTGCATGTTCTCACTCATAGGTGGGAAATGAACCATAAGACCACTTGTACACAGGAAGGGGAACATCACACACTGGGGCCTGTCATGGGGTGGGGGAGGAGGGAGGGATAGCATTAGGAGATATACCTAATGTAAATGATGAGTTAATGGGTGCAGCACACCAACATGGCGCACGTACACATATGCACACACCTGCACGTTGTGCACATTTACCCTAGAACTTAAAGTATAATAAAAAATAATTTAAAAAAAAAAAAAAAAAGCATGATATGGCTAGGCATGGTGGCTCACACCTGTAATCCCATAACTTTGGGAGGCCAAAGTGAGAAGACTGCTTGAGGCCAGGAGTTTGAGACCAGCCTGGGTAACAGCAAGACCCCATCTCTACAAAAAATAAAAAATATTAGCCAGGCATGGTGGTATATGCCTATAGTCCTAGTTACTAGGAAGGCTGAGGCAAAAGAATCGCTTGAGCCCAGGATTTTGAGGCTGCAGTGAGCTATGATCACTGCATTCCAGCCTTGACCACAGAGTGAGACCTTGTCTCCAAAAATAATAAAAATGAGTAAAGGCCTGAAGACAGTAACCATATGATATATGAATGAATACTGTAGAGCGAATGAACAGGAGGTACAAAGGCTCTCAGTTCAAGGAAGAGTCAGGAGCCCTTGTGGCTGAAGTAGAGTGTGCATGGAGGAAGAAGAGGTGACCAGAGAGGTAGTGGATGTGGGGGAAGGGGAGACCAAGGAGGCTTCTAGGCCATTGTGATAACTGGCTTTCCCCTCAAGTGAGACAGGAAGTCACTGGAAGGCTTCTGAGAGAGGTGACAGGTAATTATTAACTATAAAAGCTGGAAGGAGCATCTTAAGGTCTTGTTTTTTGTTTGTTGTGGTTTGGTTTTTTTTTTTTTTTTTTTTTTTGAGACGGTGTCTTACTCTGTCACCCAGGCTGGGGTGCAATGGCATGATCTCGGCTCACTGCAACCTCTACCCCCTGGAATCAAGCAATTCTCCTGCCTCAGCCTCCCAAGTAGCTGGGATTACAGGTGCGCACCACATAATGCCTGGCTAATTTTTTTGTATTTTTAGTACAGATGGGGTTTTGCCATGTTGGCCAGGCTAGTCTTGAACTGCAGACCTCAAGTGATCTGCCTGCCTTGGCCTCCCAAAGTGCTGGGATTACAGGCGTGAGCCACTGCACCTGGTCCATCTTAAGGTTTTCTAGATACATGTAGATGTGTTTATTTTTGTATGAACTCTATGGGAAGGGATTCTATAATTTCCCAGATTCTATTATGTTCATAACTATTTCAAAGGTTTAACAGTTGCAACTTAAACATTTCAAATGACAATACAAATTCCTCCCTCAAACAGAAATGGAAATGTCCCTTTAAAAGACTGATAATGGTGAAACACTTCTCACCATTCTACAGATAAAAAGTATAGTCTAGCCAGCCAATGACACCGAAGATTTGGGGAAGCAATGTTTTTGATCCCTGGCCCCAGCCCACTCTTCCATCCAGCTAATCCTTTAGGGCCCTACAGTGCCTTCCCTAGAGCTCTGGGCCTTCAGTGATGCCTCCTCTCTGATCTCTTCAAAGATAGAAATTTCTGTCATGCTCACATGCTGGCTTCCTATGAAGGTTCCTATGAATTACCATCTGTTCTAACAAACTACTGTTAAATTGTATTTTACATAAAAGTTAAATCTAATTTTATTTCTTCTGAGGAAGCTGAACTAACTTTTGACCAGAAAGGGGAGAGACAGAGTGACTATATCACTCATTATATAATTAAGGGTGAAGGGTAAGAGTAAAAACAATCAGAACTCTTCCAGAAGCATTTAGAACCAGTAACGAAGGGACAGCAAAATAAAAGAGTTGCTGACTTACACCGGGTACCACCGTGGGATGCTCTCGTGCCTCTGCGTCTGGTACATCAAATGCCCGGAGCACTTCAGGGCTCTTGTTGCCAGTCTGAAATCTCAAGTCAACATCTCTCTCTCTCAAAATCTCTCTTCTACCCTCATATGTTTTAGCATAAGGGCCTTGCTCAATGGGGCCAGTTTGGCCCCTATAATAGAACTCTGCATCACCTGCCCCACCATCAGGTCTGTAATCAATTTCCTCCTGCCGTCTTCTATCCCGTGGCCGAAGTGCCTGGGGAGGTTCTCTCTCAGGACCGCCTACATGTCTCAGCACATGAACTGATTTGCCAGCACCATAGCAGAAACTCTGTAAGGAAAAGAAATACATTTTCCTGAGGACTTAATGGCTAACCTACAAAAAAGTTATGAGGCATTTTATTCAGAGTGCTAACAAAATTATGTAATTTAACTTACTTGTGGCATTTATAGACATAAACATGTTAATTTGACTTTCATTAGAGACCTCTTCTTTAGATTAATACAAGGCCAAAGTGGCCAATAAAACTTAATAAATCACTGAATATTCAGTAGATATTTTAATCAGCTAGACACATTTTGATTGAACTATAACAATGGCAGGCTGAAGCCTAGGTATTTAAATTAGCAGGTTCTAGTCTGATAATTATTCATGTTTCTAGATTCATGCCCATCATACAAGGTAAATGCTGAAAATATTTAAAGTTGTATATCATTATGTAAACAATCTCCTGTACCTTTACTTTTTACAAATACAAACTAGCTTAAGTTACAGCTAAAATTCAACAGGTTTTGATTCACATTCCATGGGAAAAAGTAGGCAGCAGTTCCTGACAGTGTGGCTCAGGGACCCCTGGGGGGAAACCTGAGACTTTCAGGGGATCTATGAGATCAAAACTTTTCATAATACAAAGACATTATTATTTGTCTTTTTCACTGTCCCCTCCTGAGTGTGCAATGGAACATTCCAGATGCTAGAGTGACAGCCTCACTCGGACTCAGGAGATGCCTGCCTGCGTGTACAGTACTCGTATGTTTTAAATTTGTTTTAACTCCTAATATGTAAATATCAATAAATATAATCACCTTAAGTAAGAGCTGTTTGTGGGCTTCAATTTTTAAGACTGCAAAGAGGTCCTGAGAACAGAAACTTTGAAAATTTCTATACTAGTTTTTCAAACACTACTATTTGAAGACAGAAGCAGCCAAAGTCAAAGAGCATAACTTTCCTTAGGGAGCACATGAAACAAAAACAGATGGTGAAGACTCTGCTCATAATTTCAGTTTCAGAGACTACACTACGACTATAGAACTAATGTCACCTAACAAAAAAAAAATACCCGCCAACCACATAATCCTGTAATCACAAGCCAAAAAACAAAACCAAAAAAGAAACGATTTCAAAGTGAATAGAGATAGTGAATCTTGTATCCTTAGGGCAGAGAATTTCCCTTGGCACATCTAAGTTTTTGGTTTTATGCAACAACCGCTTTACTTGGGTAATAGCTAAAAAATCGATAACAAAAAACACTGAACAGACCATGGATGAATGACGAGTAATATTTCTTTCTTAACGTCTGCTCCTGGATCCCCAAACTCTTTCTCAGCATACCCACGTTCTTCCACATCCCTTTCTCGTTCTGTGTCAAACTCAATGCTCTTCCCTTCTCACTGCTGCAAAAACTCAGACTAGAAATAAGAAGTCCCCCTTTCTCAAGGAGACAGTAATCAACTTCCTATTTCCTGTGTATTAATTCACCAAGGTTAAAGGACAAATTTAAAAAGAGGGTATTATTCTAAATCACTGCTACATATGCAATCAAACTAGAGAACTACTTTCTTGATTAGCAAAATATACAAGTGGACGCCCACTGCCATGGCGACTCTGCTGCGCCCTGTCCTGCGCCGGCTCCGCGGGCTTCCCGGCCTCCTGCGGCTTGCGGCAGAAATGCCTCTCCGGACCAGGAGCGCCGGCGCCGGCCCGCTGTACTCGCACCACATCCCCACCTCCCCGCTGCAGAAAGCGCTGCTGGCCGCCGGCTCCTCGGCAATGGCGCTCTATGACCCCTACCGCCACGACATGGTCGCAGTTCTAGGGGAGACCACAGGACACCGCACCATGAAGGTCCTCAGGGACCAGATGAGGAGGGATCCAGAGGGTGCCCAGATCCTGCAGGAGCGTCCCCGAATTTCGACGTCCACCCTCGACCTGGGCAAGCTCCAGAGCCTGCCAGAAGGCTCCCTGGGTCGCGAGTATCTCCGTTTCCTGGATGTGAATAGGGTCTCCCCAGACACCCGAGCACCCACCCGCTTCGTGGATGATGAGGAGCTAGCTTATGTGATTCAGCGATACCGGGAGGTGCACGACATGCTTCACACCCTGCTGGGGATGCCCACCAACATCCTGGGGGACATGGTGGTGAAATGGTTTGAGGCTGTCCAGACTGGCCTGCCCATGTGCATCCTGGGTGCTCTCTTTGGACCGATCCAACTCAGTGCTCAGAGCCTGCAAGTGCTGGTCTCGGAGTTGATCCCATGGGCCGTTCAGAACGGGCGCACAGCCCCATGTGTCCTTAACCTGTACTATGAGCGGCGCTGGGAGCAGTCCCTGAGGGCTCTACGGGAGGAGCTGGGCATTACGGCACCACCCGTGCATATCCAGGGGTTGGCCTGAGTTCCTGAGCCAGCAGGGCCTGGCCTACTTCCCCCATCTACTGCTTCCCTTGGGGGCAGAGGGCTCCCTTGACTACCTTTGTTCCTCTTCTTTGAACACTGACCCTTGGACAACATTTATCATAATTTGTTATAGCCACTGCTGAGTGGCCTTGAGGACGAACCCCACAGGGAGCAAGCAGTACAGTGGCACTCCCAGGGGGACCAGCAGCTGTCCAAGGAGAACCATGCGTGAACAGTATCAGTCGTCTGGGCTCATGCTGGGATGTTGCAGCACTCCTGTTGCGACTCCTTCCAACCAGCCAGGTTTGCTGGGGGCCAGGCTGGGTGTCCTCACAGGAGTGAGTGCTACACCCAATTCCAAAAGCCCGAGAAGAGAGAAGCGGAGGGGGAGGCGAGTGTGTGAATAAAGGCTCCCATCAGGTCAAAAAAAAAAAGAAAAAAAGAAAAATATACAAGTAAGTATAATATATCTGTATCATTTAGAGGGGCAGAGGGGAGGAAAAAAAATCTGTATCACTTAAAAATTACCTTCTCATTAAGCATGACTTAGCCTGATTTACAATATCAAAGAAGCCCAGTAAGTTCAGCATTGCTTTTCTGTAAATCTTGCTAAATACTGACAGTGCTAATACTAACCAGTATTAATATATTAACACTAAGATTTAATATAAATCTTGCTAAATACTGACAGTGCTTTTATATATATATATACACACACACACACACACACACACACACACACACACACATTTTTTTTTTTTTTTTTTTGAGACAGAGTCTCGTACTGTCACCCAGGCTGGAATGCAGTGGTGCGATCTCCACTCACTGCAAGCTCCACCTCCCGGGTTCACGCCATTCTCCTGCCTTAGCCTCCCAAGTAACTGGGACTACAGACGCCCCCCACCACGCCCGACTAATTTTTTGTATTTTTTTAGTAGAGACGGGGTTTCACCGTGTTAGCCAGGATGGTCTCAATCTCCTGATCTTGTGATCCGCCTGCCTTGGCCTCCCAAAGTGCTGGTATTACAGGCGTGAGCCACTGCGCCTGGCCTGACAGTGCTAATACATTAATACTAACCAGGATGGCTAATGCCATAATTATCAGCACTGGAAGATGAAGCAGCGCTGGAATTTCCTTCATGAGTGCTTTAATGAATTCCCCAGTTCCTTTTCCAATGTGCTTCAATGGCTCCGTTACAAATGTGGTGAATGTAACTGCAAGTGCCTAAAACAAGAGAGAAAAGCAACTTAATTTTCTCCTCACAGGGCTAAGGTACAGAATGAATCAAAATTCATTGTGCACTGAGGCTGAAAGTATGTTACATAAATTAAAATGCTGTTGTGCCATTTTTAATGTGAAAAATCACTGTGCAATAGTATTTTTTGTTGGACAAAGGCTTATTTGCAAAATGACTCAAACACTAAATTTCTTTAAAATACAAGGGATTTCTGACTTACTTTAAGGAATTTTTACAAAATATATGCGATACCTTTGTTGGTGGGACCAACCAAATAGGGTTGACTAGTAAGAGCTCATAGTATTTTTGGCATGGGTCATCCTTATAGGTCCATGAACTTCTAAACCATTCTGTTTAGAGAAACAGACAAAACACTGATCATTTCTTTTAATGTTGCATTTCATTCCCAAACAAGACACTACTTTGGTTTTGACCCTCTGACCACCCACCAATCAGTTTTAAATTATCTTGTTTTAAGTAGACTCCCTGTAATGCTGATTTTTTAATTTTTCATCTTATGTCCAAAATCATGTTTTAAAAATCCATTCAAATTATACATGTTTTATGCAGATAAAAAAATTGTATTTTATAAAAATGTCTAAAAGGTAAACACTTTAAAAGCAATGCTTCACAAACACAAATGAGTACAGGTAAAATGGGAAGTCAAAATAAGACTGGTGGATTGTATCAAAGTCAATATCCTGACTCTGATATTGTACTATTAAAGCTGTGCAAGATGTTACCATTGGAGGAAAATGGGGAAAGGGTACACCGGCCCTCTCTGTAGTATTTCTTACTATGTGAATCCACAATTACCTCAGTAAATTTTTTATTTAAAAAGTCAGTTCTGGCTGGACACGGTGGCTCAAGCCTGTAATCCCAACACTTTGGGAGGCCGAGACGGGCGGATCACGAGGTCAGGAGATCGAGACCATCCTGGCTAACATGGTGAAACCCTGTCTCTACTTAAAAATACAAAAAACTAGCTGGGCGAGGTGGCGGGCGCCTATAGTCCCAGCTACTCGGGAGGCTGAGGCAGGAGAATGGTGTAAACCCGGGAGGCAGAGCTTGCAGTGAGCTGAGATCCGGCCACTGCACTCCAGCCTGGGTGACAGAGCCAGACTCCGTCTCAAAAAAAAAAAAAAAAAAAAAAAAAAAAGTCAGTTCTTTATGGAGTTTACAAAATAAAGTAGAATATTAGTTTTAATTTTTCCAAATCAGGCTTATATACATTGGCAAACTAGCCTGAGCTAGAGGACACATTTCACTGTCCACTGAAGCCATGAATTGGTTTAATTCCCACAACTTTTTAAGAAACATTTATTTTGGAACCCATCTGCAGAATTCTGTGTCAGTCATGGACTTGCATTTATAAAATGCCTTAGAACACTATTAAACCATCCCCATTGCTAGATATACACAACCAAACGTAGTGAACATTCATAAGAATGTTTATAAAATGTGAAAGAATTAAAAAACTAATCTTTCCCAGAGTTTAAAAAAAAGGTAAAGCTATAACATAAAATTTCACAAGTCAATATAAGGCCATTAAATTTAAGATGGATATTAATTCATATATACACTCATTCACTTGATTCACTTGTTTAATAAACTTCTATTGAGAATATGCCAGACACTGTGCAAAGGACGAGATGAACAAAAGCGAGCATAGGATCCTTCACACAGTCTTATGAAGGAAGACAGATAATATCAGAGCCAACATATATACAACTTCTATTCCTTCCCTGTGACTTGAGTTGAGCATAAAAAGTCACTGGTTTTAAACCTCAAACGCTTCTTGCATGTTCTTCTGATATTAAAGATTCAGTCATGGAAAGCCTCCTCTGTTATTTTATCATTCTCTTTGTTCTATGTTCTCTCATTCTCAGAATTTCTATCAAAATAAGGACAAGTGCACAAACACCTTACCCCAGATACTTCCAGTCCAGTCCATCTTCTCGGCACACACATTGTTTAATGGCTCCATCTTGGCGACTTCAGCCTGATGCTGTGCAAAAGCTAGCTGACCAAAACCAAAAGGGAACCAGGAGAGGCCGTTACCATGAAGGTTAGGCCTACACATCCAAAAGACCTTCATTCAAAGAGTGTCTTTACCATGCATCCAAACCAGACTATTACAAAAGTTTTAATTTAAAAAATTCATATTATTACTATTTTTTCTCTTTTTTTCCTGAGACGGAGTCTTGCTCTGTGGCCCAGGCTGGTGTGCAGTGGCACAATCTCTACTCACTGCAACCACTACCTCCCAGGTTCAAGCAATTCTCCTGCGTCAGCTTCCCGAGTAGCTGGGATTAAAGGTGCCTGCCACCATGCCCAGCTAATTTTTGTGTTTTTAGTAGAGACGGGGTTTCATCATGTTAGCCAGGCTGGTCTCGAACTCCCGACCTTAAGTGATCCGCCCACCTCAGCCTCCCAAAGTGATTATAGGAAATTATATTATAGGAGGGATTATAGGAAAACATATTATTTGTAAAGAGTAGCTATTTCCAGTTCATGGAAAAGTACAGCCTTAATGTAACAAGTAAGCATAAAGTACTAACTACAATTGCCTTCTCTATAAGTAATTATAATGAAAAAGGAAAACTTTACTAAAAATAATGTTTTTAAAAATTAGTTCAGCCGGGCATGATGGCAAGGGCCTGGAGTCCCAGATACTCAGGAGGCTGAAGTAGGAGAATCGCTTGAACCCAGGAGGTAGAGGTTGCACTGAACCGAGATTTCGCTACTGCACTCCGGCCTGGGGGACAGAGTGAGACGGTCTCAAAAACAACAACAACAACTAGCTCTAGCCATACAAATTAAATGACTACTTCTCATTTTCTTTTACAGTTGATGATATCCTATTTTGCACTGGATAATTTCCAGCACAATGACCAATACACAATCATTGAGGTGACAATACTCAACAAACTTTCCTTCCACATAGAATCTGTGTTTAATTTGTAAATAATTAGTTCTAGATACTATAATACTTAGAGCAAAAGGTTAAAGAAATGTCATAATGCTTTAACCAGATGAAGTCATTGAAGTCATTGGCTACTTGACTTACTCTGCTAGACAGATCTAAAATTTTCTTTCAATGATTATGCTATGTTGATGGGAACAGTAGTGGTCCTTTCAAATTTCTATATATAATATGATCCCAACTTTGAAAGATAATTAAAATCTAGAAAAAACTAGAAAGAAATACCTCAAACTACTGACAGATTTTCTCTAGGTGATAAAATTATAGGTGATTTTAAAAATTAATTTCTTTTTATCTGTCTTTTCTACATTCTCTGCCATGAACATAACACTTACTCAAAAAATAAGCTAATTTTTAAAAGACAGTATTCTGGTATCATTTCTAGCAAAGAATAGAATGACATACCCTAAATTACCCACATGATAATTTTTAAATGTATCCACCTAGCTTTATTCTTTTTTTTCCTTCCTTTTTCCGAGAAGGACCTCATTCTACGGCCGAGGCTGGAGTGCAGGGGCACAATCTTGGCTCACTGCAACCTCCCAGGTTCAAGCAATTCTCCTGCCTCAGCCTGCTCAGTAGCTGGGACTACAGGCACACGCCAACAGGCCTGGCTAATTTTTGTATTTTTAGTAAGGATGGGGTTTCACCATGTTGGCCAGGCTAGTCTTGAACTCCTGACCAAGTGATCTGCCCACCTCAGCCTCCCAAAGTGCTGGGATTACAGGCATTAGCCACCATGCCCAACCCACCTAGCTTTATTCTGACTTACATGCCCAAATGTTAACAGTAACTGGGTTATGAAAATCAGGACTGAACTTTTTTACCCACTAACTGGTCAAGGAATCAAAAAACAGTCAGCTAAGAATTGTCCATTTAATTCCTCCCCAGCGTGGACCACCTCTAGTCACTGCCTCCAACCTACATCCAAGGCAAGATTGCTTTCAACAGATTAGTCTTCTTTCATTGTGAATAAATGTTTTAAAATTGTAAAACCCTTCATCCATGTAATACCTTATATAAATACATCCAATTCCATCCCAGACTGAACAGAAAGCTGATGATTAAAACACGTCTCAACTGAGTGTACCAGCGTACATATGTCCACAGCTCGGTAGCCACTAAAAGCACGATGCAGAGCAGACAAAGAAGTACCTTAAAACAGAGAGAAGCAGAAATCAGCCACCAAAAACACTCAGGGCAGCTAAAA